TGAGGGAAAGTGCATGTTTTACAGTGTTAAATACACTTCAGTTCTAATAGGGATGGGGTACTCACTGGCTTTGCAGATACTAGAAGGTGCAATGAGCACAGAAGGAGTTAACATTAAGAAAAACATTGTATGAGTAAAAGCGTCCCTCTCCTTTTCCTGTCCTCCCCATAGTGAACATACATATTTAAATACTGCAGTCAAGTAGTCTAGAAAGGCAGTATTGACTCTTAACAACTAAGTAACTGAAAGTTATAAAAGTTGGGTTTGTGTCCAGCTTTGAGAGGAACTCCTTTGTGACCACGAATCTCCCAAGGTAGCTGGGGATGAGCCTTCCCCATTTTTGTAACTCCTTTTTATGAAAAGAGCCAAGTACCGTTAGCATTATACAAGATTACACAGATAGCATGCCAGGAGAAATCAGTTAGCCAGGTGATTTATTTGGGTCTCTGATAATGAGTCTGTTCTTTTATTATTATTTCTTGAGGATTGAAACAATCAGAGCAGCAAAGACCACACTGCGTGTGAAGTTCAGCTATGTAATGATTGCCTTGACAATTTTGGGATGCATAGCCATGGTGATTCAAGGGAAGCAGGTAAGTAAGCACAGATGTTTGGCTGGTAAGTGCAAATCAATCTTCACATAAACTCCTTAGTTCCTCCTATGGATTGGTAGTACTGTTGTGTTCTGGGGGTTTTCTTTTTCATTGTATCACTGAATAAAAATTAAAAAATTAAGTCCTCCTAGTTCCCCAGAAGTGACCCTCACTGATTAATGCCAAGTCAGAAAAGGCAAGGGTGATGTTGCTGTTAGGCAGCATATGCTTCCTTTAAAAGGAAACAAACAAACAAAAAAGTCTTTTTTCTTCTCAGTGTAATACTTAGTTTTAGCTTGTGCTGTTTTAACTCCTTAATTTTGCTGATGGACTGAGAATTCAAAAGGAAAGGGCCTCTTCTGCCCTGTGGATCTGGTAGGCAGGTAAATCCTCCTTGAGCCATGGGGTCTGCAAAATTCACTGTGTGGACCTATTCCAAACGCCTCTCTACACACTGCAACGCTCAAAGAATCAATACAATGGAAATAGCAAATGAGTATGCTTCTCCACAGAACAGACTTGAGAATTCTTAAAAGTATTTTTAAACAATGAGGAGGTGGTCAGTATTAATTCTGTGCTCTTCAATTGCATTAGAAAATAGTCTAGTGGATGGAACAACTTTTCTCAAACTACTACTGTGTGTTGAATCAAAAACTACTTTATAGAAAAGCTCCCAACTCCTGTAGATGCTGAGCATCCTTCACTTGCATAGAATTTGGCAAGGTACTGAAGTTCAGCATACAGGAAAACTAGGTCTATGATTTAATTTGCATTATGTGAAGAAAGTAAGTGTAAAGTTGAAGATTGCAAGTGCAGCAAAGGCTAGTCATGAGTTAATTTTATGTGTTTTTTTAACATAGTTGGTGAACTATTAACTTTGTGGTATTTCTGTAAAGAAGCAAGGAGCACTTTTTGCGTACTGAAGCCCAGCTAAAGCCTCTCAGCAGCATTAGTCTCAAAGTCAAGGAAAGTGAATATAATCTGTGCAGTTTACTGTCACGTTGCTTTTGCTAAAACGCACAGTGGTAACAGAAACATGGTCCACTACATTGTTCTAAGGATGACTTGAAGCAGAAAAACCTGAGCTTAAAGCATCTACATGGGCAGAACCTTATTTGTATGCTGCCTTCCTCCAAAGCAGTTCTGATGAGAATGTTCAGACCTTGTTTCTATAGACCACAAATTGTTCTAGAGAAATCTTAAAACTAGTAACAGAGTCTCAACCTCAGCACTGTGAACTCCTGAAGTGTCAAGCAACATTTCTGCTTGTCAGCGTTTCCCTAGCAAAATTAAAAGGATGCAGCACTCTGAAGCAGAACAGTGGAAAAGTTTTTTCTCTGGCTTCAGCAGAAAAGATCAAACACTCACAATTCCCAGAGCATTTTTCTCTTACATTGGAGTAGAATGAATGCAAACACCGGAAAGAGGAGGACAGCTGCTTTGGGACGCTTCTTTTCACAGCAGCTGGAATCTATTATATTTAACTTTTGATTTGCTTCCAGTACCTCTGACTTCTGAAGACCAGAGATTATTATTAAATACTGACCAGAAGCACAGAATGTATCTTCTAGTGGCTTAACAAAAAGGTTTAATTTATTCCCAGAGAAGTAGTAAGTTTAAGCCAAAATAGCCTCTGGATGTTTTATTTTAACCGTCTCTCTTCCTGGCATTTGAGCCAACAGAACTGTGCCTTGGTAAGGATAGGCCAGATATTATTTTTTTTTAAACTATTGATTCAGGTTTCATCTCTGTGGGCCTCTAGGTAATACTTTCTGCTCTCGCTTTCTCATTATGTTGTAGGCTGTAAAAAGGCATGAATCTCTTACAAGCATAAACTTAGAGAAGAAAGCTCAATGGAGAGAGGAAGCTGCTCAGAGTACTTCTGCTAAACCTTAGAAGAAGAAATGAACACACCGAGCACTGGGGGAAAAAAAGCCGAGTCCTTTTCAGCACCCGAAGGAGGATGTAGTCACGTTTTCCTGTATGTTAGTTCTGTACCGTCATGTTCAAGAATGAATATATTATCCTGTAATAATTAAACCCAGAAATATCTATTTTCTTTTCCTAACAACCTTCCCTTTCCTCAAACCTCTCCTCTTCACAGTTGGGGAAAGAGGACAAGTGAGCAAACTGTGTAGACAGAATTGTTGTTTCCCACAGGTGCTATGCACAAGACCAAGCATCTTTTAAAAGATCCTTTACAAAGTCTTACGCTCGCTCTTCCCACTTACAAGAAGACAATTGGGACACAGCCCATTCAGTTTCCACATCCATACCTGTACAAACAAAACACCTTTGCTGGGCAGTCATCTGCTGTCGTGGCCTATGTCAGGTCCCTTCAGGAAGAGTGGTGTTATATGCACTCTATATTGCTACAGGCTGCCTGTTTGTGTAGGAGAGAACAATTATTAGAGGAGTCCTTGAGTCAGGGATAATTGTATGGCCTGCCTTAACGCCATCAAAATGATGGTAAGTTATTAGAAAGTCTGCTTACCTGTTTGAGGTCCAGTATATTCTGGCTGCATTTGTGTAACTAATGAAGGATTACTTTTTGTGAAGAGCTGATTTCCTTTCATAAAAAGAGGAGGGGAAGTGATAGTGAAATGGTATTCCAGAGAACCAGCGTGTTGCAGTTTCGGGTAGTGAGATGAGAGGAGTCCAAGCCAAGGGAACAGAGAGGAGTATTTCGAGGAACACTGAGCAACAGCTTCAACCTGTGCTATCAGTTTTCCTATTCAGGGGCACTCAAGTATGAGTCAGTCAGTCAGGCACTTCTGCTTGCTGCTCCTGAGCTCCTTTTTCCAAACCTCATTTCGATTTATTTGCATTTTTCCCCCCTTTAAATCATCTGTGCTTTCATGATACTAGCTCAGTTAAAGATCATCTGCCTCAAGTTTTAGAAGCAGCAGACCCAGTAATACCTGCAAAGAGCAACTCCCCACAGTCCTATTTCTGGCATTCATCCCAGAAGAGTCACATACTGTTTACGTTGAACAGCCTGCAGCAACTGGAGACCAATATTTTTCCTCCTCCTTTCAGTTTGTATGGAAGGAAATGCAGATTGGGACTGTCAGGACTGTTTGAAACTGCACTGCTTCCCAGGACTGCCTACTAAATGCCCACTGGGGCCACCAGAAGAGGCATATGTGTTTGACCAATTCCTGATAGTAGGAGGCAGATTTTTTTTAAAAGCTTTTTCCTGATTATTTTTCTTGTACTACAAAAGTTAGCACTATTGCTGAAAAAAAATAAAAGCCCTTAAAAATGCAGGGTAAATCTTGTCTTTATAGCTGGAAAAGAGAAGCACTAAGATACCTAGTGCAGGCCTCTCCAGTACTTGGTCCTTTAAAGCTAGAAAATAGCTGCTGCAGTCCACCCTTCTGTGAATTGCATTTCTGGGTACCACTCATATTGATGAGATGTAACCACTCAAAACAAGCTGTGCAGACATTCCACCACAGAAGCTACAACCTTCAGGTGATGCCACGACCTGTCATCAGATTCTCTGTAAGGCAATTATTGGAAGTGTGCTGTCTATCAAGCAGAGCAGGCTTCCAAGATTTATCCACTCGTTTAGCACTGAAAGCAAGTCACGCTTAATTCCACTGCAGGTATCTGAACATATCTTCCACGTCAGCTTTGGTTCTTTACCACACCAGTAGGCACAGAGGTGGAAACCAAGAAAAAAATCTTCCCAGACTGTATTCCTGTGCTCACACATGTATTAAATGGGACTAAAAAGGAAAACTTGCACTTCTGACAGTGGTTCAGGTTACCATGAAGACAAACTTGTGATTTGATTTATGCTTTGTGATAGCAGAGCTTAAAACCATGCACCTCTCAAAAGTATCCCACTTTCAATAAGCACCTCCAAGTGCACTCTGTGAAAAGAACTGGTAGGTACCTCATCTAGTTTAGGAAATAAAACTACTTGGACTCATCCAGCTGGTAAAATATTTCAAATAAAAATATGTAAAATACCCCTCAGAAAGCAACAACCCAGAGCAGCAATGGGCACCAGTGTTTCATTTTACTTAAATTTCTACAACCTTTATGCCATTTAACTCAAAAATTGAGCTCTGGTTTGACAGAAGACCCATGTAAGAAGTCATGTATCCTGTCACTCTGGTATCTCCAGCATTTCAGGACCTACCATAAAACCTGTGCATCACTGCACACAGTCGTGTTTTCTTTCAGCTTCCACGTCTGTTCCAGAGTCTCAAATAAAAGCCTGAGCCATTGGACTTTGTGTTGTCTCCAGCTCACTCCCAACCATTTGCAAGTAGTTGGGTCCTAGAAAAATGATGTAAATCTTTCTCAATGACAGACACCACCTCTTTCCTGGTGTGACACCTTCCAAGAAAGCACTTCTAAACACAGACATTGGTTATAACAACAGCACACGTTTCTGGCCTAAGCAGCCAGTCTAGCTGCCTGGAGAACTTCTTAAGAACACCCTGGATCACATAGCTTTAGCCTGCAGTCTTTTAACAGTGCCTGATGGAGAAGTACATACTGAGCCCTTAAACAGTACTTCATTTTCTTTCTCCTTTTTGGCTTGGTCTGCAACACCATTGACATTTATTCAAAAAACTCAGTGTACATGATCAGTCCTATGCCATATCGCTGTAGCTATTCCAGGGGCCACAGGTACTTCCCAATGCAATGATCAGTCTGACAACTTGAAGACAACCTTGAAAGAGCATGCAGGAGCCCTGTCAACCTGGCCACAGCAGTACACAAAAAGGTCCCCTTTATTTTCCTACTAAGACTCGGGCATCTGAAGGAAGACCTTCATGTCTCCTAGCTAAAATTGGCATGGGAAAGTACTAATGATGTTTTGTGCCGATCCCAGAAGCAAAGAAACCATACTGGGAGATGTGGGAACTAAAGGTGGCACAGAGGTAAAACAGCTGTTCTGTAAATCCTCAGGAAAGCACACAGGGGCACCGCCAGGAGCAGTCACCTTTAGGTCTGGGTGGTGGGACTTGGTTCTTAACAGCCTCAGTGCTGGTATTTGTAGAAATGCAAGTTTAAGACCACATAGGTTTTCTGGGGTCAGGGCCTTCCTCCCTTCCCTTAAGACTAAGTGAAGGGACTTTGACAACCAGTAGTGAGTTGGCATCAAGGAACCAATGCAGGAATTTAAGAACTGGCTGAAGCCTCTGGTCTGCAGTTTTCTCAAAGGATTGTTTGCAAATGTAATGTCTTCCCAGAAGCCCCAAGCACCGGTCCTGGCTTAGTTACTGAGCTTTCAATAGCCTTCTGCCCCATCATCTCTTGTATCCTGCCTGCCACGTCCCACTAGGAGCATCACCAACGGAAAGAATCATAGCTCCTGTCTGCTGCCCCAACAAACACACGACACTTAAAAGGCATCACAGCTCTGTGGAGAGGATGGCTAGACAACAATTCCATCTTCCTTTCTCTAACACCCAGTTTAACTGATGCTGCAAGAACAACTCAAGAGATTCTTGTTCTCATTAATCTTTTCAGCTTACCAGCTTGTGGGGCTTTTGGAAGGTGCTTAGATTGGATCTCCACAAGCAGACAGAAACAAATGCATTAACTGTCATTTTCAGGGTAAGGGCAGAAGAAAACACTTGAGATCACTTTTATGGCACTACACACTGCATAGCAGAGCTGTGAGAAGAACCCCAAGAGCTCCCTGGCCTGTCCTCTACACATGAGACCGTGCTGCCTGAGATTTAAACACAAAAAACAAGAACAGATACTCAAAACACAGTGTGACTTTCACAAAAGTGGAAGCTTGAGGCGCTCCCCGATAGTCCCTATTTGAGCAGCAGCAGGTCCTTCAGGAGAGCAGAGAACACTGGTTCCAGTGTTTCTAGCAGGGGACACAACCTTTGTTACTCTCAGGTCAGCCTAACAGTTAGTTACTCCTGAGGGTAAAAAGTGCCTTGTTTCTCATCTGAATGGAACTTTCCACCTTGTAACAGTCGTTGCTGCTCCCAGTTTTCTAGCATCCTTTTTTGTTACGGACATCAACGCTGAGAGTGTTCCTGTAAACAAAGTTTCACCAGTGCTGAATATAAAGTTAATATAAATTCCCCATTTCTACTAAAGATTTCTTTTCGTATCTATGAACATTTCACTAGCCACACAGAAGCAATCGTGTTAGAAAGACGTGTTCAAGCGATAAGGAGGCACCTTTCCTCCAAAACAGAGTCCTTCACTTGTGGCCTGAACATTATTTATTAGGTGGGTAACGTTACACTACAGGTTTGGCTCTATTAAAATGCAAATAGTTTACTCGCCCTTGGTTGACCAAGTAATTCTGATCAGTCAGTATCAGTGAGCTGTTCCTTTCATAATTCACAAGTCTGGTCTCCCTTCCGCACTCATACAATTTGCAGCTTTTGTTAGAAGCAGATTCTTTTCAACTCATTAATAATGCTGAGTAAAGCAAGGCCAAGAACTGGTTGCTGGAAGATCCTGATGGAAATACACTCAATTAAGCACCATTTAAAAGTAAACTGAGACCTATGAGTTAGCCACATTTTAATCCATTTAATGTGTGCCATGTTGATTTTTGTATTGTTTTAGGTTTCAGTCAAAGTATTATGCAGTACCAGTCAAATGCCTTACACAGTCTAAGTATATATGACAACAATATTACCTGTGTCAACCAGGCCTGTCACCTCAAACAAACATTACCAAGTTTAAAGATTTATACTTATCTGCTCTGAATTCACATATCCACTGCAAAAGTAACAAACACTGGCCAGGCTCCTCACACAGGAAGGCACACCATTCAGCTTAAATGGACTCTTTTTTTTTTTCTTTTTTTCTTTTTTTTTTAATTCACTCATTTAGAGGCAATTGTCATTATTTCCTTGGGGGAGGGAAACGCCAATGCACCACATTGTTTTCAC